GAAATTCTGCATTCTCATCATATTAGGACTTCAGAGTAGTGTTAGAAGGGAGGCATGGAGAAGATAGCCAATGATGTGGGGGTTGTAACTAGATGATCTTTAAAGTTGTCCCAAATGGGACAAGGCAGTGGATGAGAGGTACATGCACAAATCAAGATTCATTGCATATAATGCTGGGGTCTTCACTCTTTAAAGTAGAAGGTACAAGCACAGTCAAATTGTGGGGAAACTGGGTGATCAAAACAGGAATTGAGGTTAGAATGCAAAAGGTATCTTAATAACAAAGTGTACTACCAGTAGTTAGATCAATAAAAGGTTAACCATTAAACACCACTTACTTATTACCAAGTTTTATACTAGGCCTAGGACATTAATTATCAATTTTGAAGAATTCTATAATCTTAACATTAGATGATGAAATTTACTTAACTTTGTTCTGATTTGGTTTGGTGGGTTTTTTGGTAGCGGGGGAAAGGGTGCCAGGAGTGGTTCCAGGAAGAAGCTTAGAAGCTCCCCCTGCTCCAAACTCAGCCAAGGAGCCATTAGAGGGACAACAGATGTGCCTCTGTGATTAACACACAAAAGAACTGATGTAACACCTGAGCAGAGCTAGGAGTGGGAAGAAGAGCAGTGCTGGAGGAGGAGAGCAGTGCTGGTGGTTGGTGAGGAAGAAGGGGAAGAAGGTGCCCGAGCAGAAGTTTCCCTGCAACCCATGGCGAGATGGCAGCTGTGCCCCTGCACTCGTGGAGGAACGTGGTGGAACATTCCCTGAAGGAGCCAGGAGGCGTGAACTTGGCCATTGGACTTGGGTTTTGTGGCCAGAGGATTTGCTGCCAGTGGACTCTGATTACGCAGCCAAGGGAAGTTTGTTCCCGAAGCAGCACCTGACTCTGTGGGAAGCCCAGGCTGGAGCAGCTCCGGACCTCGTGGGAAGGACTCATGAAGGAGAGGTTTGTGGAGGACTCTCTGCCATGGGAGGGACCCCGTGGGGAAGCAGGGAAGGACTGTGAGGAATCCTTCTTCCTGAGGAGGAAGGAGCAGCAGGAACCACCA